CCGCGGCCCGCGGAGGCCTCACCTGCGCTCCCCGACGCTCCCCGACGCTCTCCCGCCGCGGCTCGGCCGCCTTCCCCGCGGCCCCTGCTCGCGCCCCGCCCGCGCCGCGGCCCCGCCCCGGCTCCAGCCCCCTCGCCCCCACGGGGTGGCCGCCAGCCTCGCTCATGTGACGCGGGAGCAGCTGCGGCCTGAGTCACCGGGGCCGGCGAGAGGGGGAGGCGAGCCCCCGGCCGGACGCGGCCACGTGGCCCCCGGCCGGAAGGCTGCGGCCGGGACTGGACCTCAGGGCTCCTGGCGCCCTTCTGGAACCCAGCGCCGTCTGGTTCGGGAACACGGGCTGGGCGTGAGCGCACACGGCTGCCCAGAGTTGCCCGAAGGCAAAGTGTCACACCTCCTCTGTCCCCACCGAGAAGCCACCGCGCACTTCCCGGTCCATCCTGTTCAAGCCCCTGTCCCTCATCCCAAACCCGCAGAAAGCGGTAGGTTGTGTGGATTGCGTGGGGCCAGAATAAACACTTCCAGAAAGCCCCCAGCTTCACGTCCTAAACTAAGGTTTTCTGGCCCCAACTTCTCCATTTTCTGGGACTCCAGAGCTGAGAAAAACGGGAGGGCGCCTTGGGTGGGTCTAGTTCACCTGTCAATCAATTGTAACACGTCAGAGCCTGGGCCCTCCTTCTGGGGAAAGATTAACAAAGTCTGCGCTCTCTTCCTGGATTACCCAGGATGATGTGAGCAAGGACATTAAGGTTGGCAAGGCAATAGTGTGGACTTTCCCTTCTTACTCCTCATCAGCGATAGCAAAGCCAGGTGAAGGCAATAGCTAGAAATACCTCCCTCCCTTGTGCCACTGGTGATGCCCACAAGGAGCTGTTGTGAATGCTAAAACATAGGACCAGCCTTCACACTCCTGGCCTGAGCTCTGTCTTTTTCCTAACAGCTCCTTCTGCCTGTTACTGAGTCTGAAGGGAAGAGAGTGCGCACAAAGCGGCAAGTGGAAGAAAAGGCCAGCCTGGTGGGGCATGGAGATAATCCCAGAACTTTCCATTCTCTTCTATTGTTTTTGTTTTTTGAGAATAGGTTTTGTTTTGTTTTGTTTTGTTTTGTTTTGTTTTTTGTTTTGTTTTTTTTTTAATAGACATGGCTGTCCTGGAACTCAGTCTGTAGACCAGGCTGGCCTCAAAGTCAGAGATCCGCCTGCCTCTGCCTCTGCCACCAGAGCGCTAGGACCGGGTGCACTTTCAAATCTTAAGCAGGAGAATCAAAAATGTAAAGCCACCCTGAACACACACACGTACACTCAGGAACGCACATGTGCCTCTCTCTTTGGAGACAGGGCCTCCTGTAATCCAGTGGCCTAGAGCTCCCTGTATAGCTGAGGACGACCTGAGCCGCCTGCCTCTATGCACAGGTGCTGCCGTTCCTGCTCTACAAGAGCTGGTCTGGTTACGCAGTTCCAGCACTAAACCCAGGGTTTGTGCCTGCGAGACCAGCGTTCTACCACCCTGTGGGGGTGAGACTGTAGCTCAAAATGCAGCGGAGCACACAGCATGAACAAGGACCCAGGCCAGTTCCCAGACTACAGCAAAGTCCAGGTAAGATGGTGGGCCTGTTCTTCCCAGGGAGGTGAAGGTTCCAGGCCATCCTGGGCCACACAGCAAAACCTCATCTCCACCGAACCAAAAACAGTGGTATACACCTGTAATCCTAGCACTGAAGCAGGAGAATCACTTCATCATTTCAAGTTCAAGGCTGGCCTGGGCTACAAAGTGAGACTCTATCTCAAAAAAACAAGACTAAATCTGAGCTGAGCTGTAGCCCTGCTGGTAGAGAGCTGGCTTAGTATGCAGAAAGCCCTGGCTGGATCCTAGCACGACCACTGCTGTGCATGCCTGACATCCCAGCACTAATGAGGTAGAGGCAGAAGTCTCAAGAATTCAAGATCATTCTTGGCTACCTAAGGCGTTTGAGACCAACCTAAAGAATGAGTCCTTGTCTCCGAAAAATAAGTAAGTAGCCAAAGATAAATCAGTACCAAATAAATGAAGAGCCTTGGCTTGATAGAGCATGCCTATTATTTCAGTACTCAGGCTGAAGCAGGATGATCATGACTTCCAGGCCAGCTTAAGATATATGCTGGGATCCTGTGTCAAAAAAAATAAATAAAAAGCTGGGCACAGTGATTCACGCCTTTAATCCCAGCGGGGCAGGCAGATCTTAGTGAGTTCAAGGCCAGGCCAGCCTGGTCTACAGATGGAGCCCAGAACAGGCAAGCCTCTGTTACACAGAGAAATCTGTCTCAAAAGAGGAGGAGGACGGCCCTGGGGACCTGGAGAGATAGCTGAGCTGTTTGCAGCACTTGCTTTTATAGACAGCCTGACGTCAGTTCCCAGCATGCACATGGTAGCCCACAGCACCTGTAACTCCAGCTCCATCATACCTGATGCCTTCTGCTGGCCTCCTCAGGCATCAGGCATGCATGTAGTAGATGCAGACTATGTGTGTGTGTATGTATGTGTAATTACTTTTAAAATTATAAAGTCTAGTGCAGGAGAAACTGCTCAGTAGATAAGAGCACTTGCACAAACATAAGGACCTGAGTTCTGATCCAAGCACCCACATGAAAAAAATTAGGAGTGGACCCACAAGCACCCAATACTGTTAAGGTGTAGAGACAGGAGGATCACTGGGACTTCCTGGCCATCAGCCTCTCTCCAAGTTCAGTGAGAGGCCCTGTCTCAGGGCAACAAGGTGGAAAATGGTAAAGGGACACCCAGCGTCCCTTCCTGCCTTCACACACGTCCATAGGCATGTACCACAAACACAGAGAGGTAGCGTGCATGGAAATAGAGGTAAGCAGAGGCCACCATGCTCAGGGAAAGCCAGGCTCCCAGCAGCACACGTTTCCTCTTCCGTGCAGATCTGGACGGCGTTCTAGAAGGGCATCAAAGTAAACGGGGGACTATTATTAGAGATGAGGGAGTTAGAAAGAAAGCACAGGGCAAGTAAGAAAGGAAATATCATGATAATTCCAGGGGATGGTGGCGCACACCTTTGATCCCAGCACTTGGGAGGCAGAGGAAAGAGGATCTCTGGGAGTTCGAGGCCAGCCTGGTCTACAGAGTGAGTTCCAGGACAGCCAACGCTACACAGAGAAACCCTGTGAAAGAAAGAAATGTCAAAATGAAACCCTTAAAGAGGTCACCTCCTCCAGCACAGGTTGGGGCCTGGAAACCTGCCTGGGAACAAGGGAATTAAAAAGGACACACATGTCCAGAGAAGCTGAGATGGGTGGCCAGCGTGCACTCTGGTGGAGAAGGAGCAGCATGCACCCCAAAAACTCCGCACTTGTGTCTGTACATGCTCACGTCGGCAATACACTCGATTCAGGGTCTCATGTGCTCCTCACACGTTCACTCAGACATCACTTTGCTTCCCACACAATGTAAATCCCTATAAAAGAAATGCCCAGATAAGTCGATCTTCTGGACTGAGACGCCGTGTCCAGAGTTATGCTCCCACCCTCATCAGAATGCACCAGGCACATTCTGGACCTGGCTCTCCCTTATCATGGCACAATGAGGAGAAGGAGCCAAGAGGCCAAGGAAGACAGTATTCATGAGTTTTCTTATTGTGCTGTCACTAAATGACAGGCCTGTACTGGGCAAGGGGCAGCAAGAAGAGAGAGAGTGTATCTGTCCCCTGCCAGAAGGAGGGCACATACTCCTGGGGAGCCATGAATGCTCAGGGAGGGAGTGGATTCCTCAGAGGTGGGCAAACTCCGATTCAGGGAGGAGACATGACACTTGGACATGACAGTAGTCCAAGGTGGGTATCACAGCGGTGGGACACTTGTTTCTTATGTCCAAGACTCTGGATTCCAACCCTACGAATGCAAAAAAGTAAAATAAAATTGGACAACTTTGACAATGATGATTGTGCATGAAAATGAGTCTCATTCTTTACAGGTGCATACTGAAATACTGAAGGCACCACATCGTGCCTGTAATATGTTTGCAAGACTTTGAAACAATAAATGGAGCTAAAAGACCATGACTTGTAACAGGATGGTGAGTTCTAGAAGGCCACACTGGGTGTGTTCCAAGGGCAAAGGTGGGGGGAAGGGAGGTAGTGGGAGCTTCTGAGAAGGCGCAAGACCCTTGAAAATGAATGTCGGGACCCCTGGAAGACACTGAAATGGCCAGCACCTAGGGAAGGAGATGGTCAGGTCACCTAACGGAGAAAGGCCAACACTGGCATCCAGTTGGCTCTCCTGCCAGAAGTAAGAGACGTGAAAACTCACAGAGAAAGGCCAGTCATACGACCTAGTGTGCCCATGCTACTCCAGAGGCCAAGGCAGGAGCAGCGCTTGACTCCAGTAGTTCAGAGCCATTCTAGATAGCATGTCAAGACCCTGTTTCTTAAGAATTAGTTTAGCAGGCATGGTGGCGCACCCCTTTAATCCTAGCACTCTGGAAGCAGGGGAAGGCAGACTTTGTGAGTTTGAGGCCAGCCTGGTCTCCAAAGAGAGTCCAGGACAGCCAGGCCTGTTACACAGAGCAACCCTGTCCTGAGAATACCAAACTAACAATAATGATAATAATAGTTGATTAATTCATGTATAAATGGGTGAGCAAGGAGATTAAAAAAAAAACAGCGCCTCTGGGAGCCTTCATGTTTGAAAAACACATGGCTGTGGGCTGGGGAGATAGCTGGGTAGGTAAGGTGCTTGCTGCTCCTCCACACACCTCATGCACACAAAGGAAAAAGGAATAGGTGACGTAGCCAATAAAGGGGTAAACAGGAGAGGACACAGCTGTGCACTGTGCCAGGTTTTTTGTGAGACCCTTCCCCACTTCACTCAGGTAAAGCCTCCTGTGAGGCCAACATTAGCATTCCTGTTTTACTTTTGTGTGTGTGTGTGTGTGCAGGTCAGAGGACAAGTTTCAGGAGTGCTCTCTTCTTCCAGCATGTGGGTTCCAGGAGGGCCTGGAGGGTCCTTGCCCTCAGCTGATGCCTGTTTTAGAAACAAGGAAGCTGGCTTGGCCACATGGAGTAGCATTCCCAGAGCCCGTTAGGACAGTATTGGGGTTCTTTCTTTTTTTGTACAGGGTCTCTCTGTGTAGCTCCGGTAGTCCTGGAACTCACTATATCACCACACGGCCTGAGTTCACGGAATGTGAGCCCAGGTCGTCCAGAGGGGAGAGGACAGAATCATCACAGGAGAAAGGTGCCGGGCAACCGAGGTAGGATGCTCAGGATGCTCGCCAGGACACACCCCACAACTAGAGGTGAGACACTCTGAAGTCCGTGCTTTTTCTCCCTTTCACTGGAGATGTGTAAACGAGAGGGAGGAAGCTCAGGGAGGTACAGTGGTGCGAGGGGCGGCTGGAGAAATGGGAAAAAATGTGGGAGACCGGAGAATAAAGTGTGTCCAACAGGAAGGACAGGCTCAGACAACCCACTTCTCAGTCACCCTCTGCACAATCCGGTGGTGGTGTGAGGGGCTGGCATGAGAGGTGCTGTGTGTGCAGGCACACTTAAGGAAGATGAGAATCTTGTGGGCTTGCAGCGGAAGAGACAGTTCACCAGCCAAGCTCCCCAGCGGCTCAGTGACCCCACACTTGTTCCCCAGAACCTACACGGAAGCTCAAATCATGCACAACCTCAGCCCCAGAGAATTTGATGCCTCTTCTGAACTCCCCAGGCTTGACACTCCACACACAGAGTACAGATACACACACTCAGGCCACACCTACACACCTACACACACAATATAAAATAAATACTTTTTTTTTATTTTGAAGATTAGAGATAATCCTGGTTATAAAATATAAATTACTCAAAGCCACGTAACTCTACCTTAAAATGAACCAAATGGACGGCCCAGCAGGTAGAGGCCTTAATGCATGACCCTAACGACTTGAATTCGAGCACAGAAACCCACATTTTTGTATCTTTTTTAATATTTTTTATTTTAATTTTTATTAATTACACTTTACTCACTTTGTATCTCCCTCTGTTCTCCCCTCCCAATCCCACCTTTCCTTCCCCTTCTCCACAATGCCCCTCCCCCAGTCCACTGATGGGGAGGTCCTCCTCTCTTTCCTTCTGATCCTAAACTATCAGGTCTCATCAGGACTGGCTGCATTGTCTTCCTCTGTGGCCTGAACTGCCATGGGCTACATCTGTGCAGGTGTTCTAGGTTATCTCCATGAATGGTCCTTGATTGTAGTATCAGTCTCAGAAAAGACCCCTGTGCCCAGATTTTTTGGTTCTGTTGCTCTCCTTGTGGAGCTCCTGTCCTCTCCAGGTCTTACTATTCCCCATTTCTTTCATAAGATTCCCTGCACTCTGCCCAAAGGTTGGCCACAGTCTCAGCATCTGCTTTGATACACTGCTGGGAAGAGCCTTTCAGAGTCCTTCTGTGGTAGGCTCCTGTCCTGTTCCCTGTTTTCTCCTTCTGATGTCCATCCTCTTTGCCTTTCTGAATGGGGATTGAGCAGTTTAGCCAGAGTCCTCCTTCTTGATTAGTTTCTTTAGGTATACAGATTTCAGTATGTTTATCCTATATTATATGTCTAATATCCACTTATGAGTGAGTATATATCCTGTGTGTCTTTCTGCTTCTGGGATACCTCACTCAGGATGATCTTTTCCAGTTCCTACCACTTATCTGCAAATTTCATGATTTCCTTGTTTTTAATTGCTAAGTAATATTCCATTGTGTAGATGTACCACAATTTCTGTATCCATTCCTCAACTGAGGGACATCTGGGTTGTTGTGTACTTGAGCATCTTTTGGATATATGCCTAGGAGTGGTATGGCTGGATCTTGAGGTAGCACTATTCCTAATTGTCTGAGAAAGCGCCAGATTGATTTCCAGAGTGGCTGCACAAGTTTACATTCCCACCAGCAGTGGAGGAGGGTTCCCCTTTCTCCACAGCCTCTCCAGCATGTGTTGCCACTTGAGTTTTTGATCTTAGGCATTCAGATGGGTGTAATATGAAATCTCAGGGTTGTTTTGATTTGCATTTCCCTGATGCCTAAGGATGTTGAGCATTTCTTTAAGTGTTTCTCTGCCATTCGATATTCGTCTATTGAGAATTCTGTTTAGCTCTGTTCCCCATTTTTTAATTGGATTACTTGATTTGTTGCTGTTTAACTTCTTGAATTCTTTATATATACTGGATGTTAGGCCTCTGTCAGATATAGGGTTGGCGAAGATCCTTTTCCAATCTGCAGGCTATTGTTTTGTTCTGACAACAGTGTCCTTTGCTTTACAGAAGCTTTTCAGTTTCACAAGGTCCCATTTATTGATTGTTGCTCTTAGAGCCTGTGCTGTTGGTGTTCTGTTCAGGAAGTTGTCTCCTGTGCCAAAGAGTTCCAGGCTGTTCCTCACTTTTTTTTTTTAACCCATTTAGAGTAACTGGTTTTATATTGAGGTATTTGATCCACTTGGACTTTAGTTTTGTGCAGGATGATAAGTATGGATTTATTTGCATTTTTCTACATGTAGACATCCAGTTAGACCAGCACCCTTTGTTGAAGATGCTATCTTTTTTTCCATTGAATGGTTTTGGCATCTTTGTCAAAAATCAGGTGTCCATAAGTATGTGGATTTATATCAAGGTCTTCTATTCAATTCCATTGATCCACCAGTCTGTTTCTAAGCCAGTACCATGCAGTTTTTATAACTGTTGCTCTATCGTACAACTTGAGATCAGGGATGGAGATACCTCCAGAAGATCTTTTATTGCAGAGAATTGTTTTAGCAATTCTGGGTTTCTTGTTGTTCCATATGAAGTTGAGAATTTTTTTTTCCAGGTCTGTAAAGAATTGTGTTGGTAATTTGATGGGAATTGCATTGAATCTGTAGATTGCTTTTGGTAAGATGGCCATTTTTACTATATTAACCCTGCCAAGTCATGAGCATGGGAGACCTTTCCATCTTCTGATATCTTCTAATTCTTCCTTCAGAGACTGGAAATTTTTTTCATACAAGTCTTTAACTTCTTGGTTACAGTCACACCAAGGTACTTTATGTCCTTTGTGGCTACTGTGAAGGGTGTTGAGAAAACCACATTTAAAGAAGTCGTTCTCACCAGACAGACGTGATGCACACCTGTAACCCCAGCACTCTGGAGGTGGAGGCAGGCCAATCTCTGAGTTTGAGGCCAGCCTGCCAGGGCTACAGAGAAACCCTGTCTCAAACCCCCAAACACAATAAAAGTAAAAATGGTAAAATCTAGTTTATATGTATTTTACCACCATAGCACAGTAATAATAATCTGAAAGTCAACACTAAGGTAGAGGGGCCTCTGAGTGGGGATGGGGCCTGACCTCAGGCTTGTCCCTTCAGAGGATGCCAAAGCCTTTAGAGAACTTGTCATCAGACAGGACTGTAAGCTACTGCAGTGGGCCAAGGCTGCCGCACTGGGGTGTCTGTCACTGGGCACTGGAGGTAAGCTCCCTCACAGGAAGTGCAGCCAGGCTTCTCTTCAGCTCTGCTCTGTCTTCTTCCAAGACCAGAAGACAGCACAGGGAGCAGAAGTGTCACAGGCAAAGGTATGGGGGGTGGGGGGTGGAGAGGACTGGGAGGAAACAAGGAGCACGCCACTGCTCAGGACATCCATCCAGAGAGCAGGAAGAACTCAGGCTTCCAGGTCACACTCAACCCTCTGTGGAGCTTAGAATCTTGAATAAGATGTGGCTTGGGTGACAGCAATGCTGAGGGAAAGGCTGAGACGGCAGGTCTCTAGGTCCTGCTGCAGAGGACCCACAGACCACTCCCTGCAGAGCTCCTCAGTCAGTCTTGCTGAACTCATCCCTGAGAGGAGCATCCCCGCCATGGGCATCACTCTGCTCTGTTGGAGACACAGAAGGGAGTCTCCAGTCACTGAGATGGCCAATTGTGACCGTCCCCCTGTTTCACAGGTAAGTGGAGCAACCCCATATGTCCTTACTGTGAGGAAGTGGAGGCTCTGAGAGGTAAAGGTAGTCTCTCAGAATCAACCTGCAGGTAAAAGTAAGGGTGTCATATCTGTCCCCAGCAGAATGCTCCCCAAGGGAGGCATGATGTGAGACTTTGTTCTGTCAACTCACAAGCGGCATGACCTTGGCAAAAGTCTTTTTCAGTCTGGTCAAGGAAAAACAACCGCCCTTCTCACTTCACAGAGCAGCTGTGAGGATCATGGAAGGAATGCCAAGGACTGGCTTTGCTCCCTTGAAATGGCAAGGCCAGGGGCCAGTGCGGTTCAGCAGGAAAGTGCTAACCTAGCATGCATGGGGACCAGTGTCCAATCTTCAGGACTAATCGTAGTGGGTTAAAGGGAGGTTGCTCAGCTGGTAAAGTGCTTGCCGGTCATGCATGAAGGCCTAAGTTCAACCCACAGCCCTGCACAAACGAGGCATGGCGGCACATGCCTGTAAACCCAGAGCTCAGGAGTGGAGGCAGAGGGTCAGAATTTAGAGGGCACCCTCAAATTCAGAGAGGGTCTGACAAGCTTGAGCCGCCTGAAACTGTCTCAAAAAAGAAAGGCTTTGCAAGATTATTATTTTGTGGGCTTTTGAAAATTTTTGTTTCTATTTGTGAGACACTGGTCACTCTGTAGACCAGGCTGGCCTCAAACTCACAGACATCCCCCTGCCTTTGCCTCCCTCCCAAGTGCTGCACTATGCCTGGCTTATTATCTTTAGACTTATACGAATGAAATAATTTTGTCTGACAGGCCATAGTAGTGCACACCTTTGATTCCAGCACTCCAAAGATGAGGAGGCAAATTTTGGTAAGTTGGAGGCCAGTTTAGTCTCAGCTAGGACAAGACAGCTAGGGCTACACAGAGAAACCTTGTCTTAAATAAATAAATAAGTAAGTAACTTTGCTTTGATGGGCTGGGCCGGTGGCTCAGTGTTTGGGAGCGCGCGCTACTCTTCCAGAGGACCTGTGCTCACAACTGTAATTCCAGCTCCAGGCTCTGATGCCCTTTTTTTACTTCCATGGGCACCTTCATCATTCTCCTGAGACAGGGCATAGATGGGCATTTAACAAATGAGACAGAAGCAAAGCTAAATGTTTGTTGCTTACTTTTTATGTCTAGTCCTTGAGACTGAAAGCCAAGCACACGAGGCAGGGGCTGAGGAAGAACTTCACGTACTCATTCTGTGTATTAAAAACTCAGGGAGTCTAGTCCTAGAACTGTATGGAAATGAGTAGGACATGCTCCTGCCTTCAGGATGCCCACAGGCAGGGCAGGAGCGAGAGCTCAGCTGTTCAGAGCACTTGCTGCTCTTCTAAAGGACTTGGGTTCTGTTCCTAGTATCTGTAACGTAGCTCACGACTGTAGCTCTACTTCTAAGGGATCTGGTACCCTCTTCTGCCTCCCTGGACACAGGCACACAGGCATTGCACATACATACATTCAGGAAAATACTTATAAACACAAAATAAAAACAAATAAATATTTTTTAAAAAGTAAAAATGGTTACAGCCTGCACACAAACAAAACTACCATGTAGTGATGTCTATAATGAAGAGAAGCCTGGAGTCCTGGGAGCTGCCTAATATGGGGTGGTGAGTGCGGGAGGGCATCAATGTCCCTAAAATGTGTTAGGTCACATCCCCTTAACAGCAACACTCAGGAGATAATTATAAAGGGACACCTGTGAGCTCCAGGCCAGCCTTATCTATCTAGAGAGTTCCAGGCCAGCAAAGGCTACATAATGAGATCTTGTTTCAAGAACACACAAGCTGGATGGTGGTGGTGCACACCGGTACTCTCAGCACTCTAGAGGCAGAGGCAGGTGGATCTCTGTGAGTTCAAGTGAGCCTGGTCAGCAAAGTGAGTCCAGGACATCCACGGCTACACAGAGAAACCCTGTCGCGAAAAAAACATACAAATAAAAAAACAAACAAAGAAAGAACAAACCTAAGGTGGTTGCCAAAGAATGAGGGCAATGGTAATGCAGACGCAGGTTCTCTGGTCTTCCTCATACCCTTCACACACACCCTCTTCTGGGGATCCACTTTGACCTTCACAGCCAGGTGCTCTTGAATTTTCTCTGAGATCGCTCTTCCTTGGAATTCTGCCTCTAGCTCCCCTCAGCTGACAGCTCAGACCATGCTTTGTCAGCGCTCATATCACCCCCATCTGCCAGCATGTTGATGTCCCTGGAAGAGTAAACAGTAAGTTCAAATGCCACTTTTTTCCCTTGACCAGAAATATGGCGCCCCCTGCTGGAAGACTCCATTTGGAAGGCCCTGAAGTTAGGGTTTCAAGGCCCTGGAAAGGAAGCCATATGTAAGAAAGACACAGAGAAGGTAGGGAGACCCGGAAAAACCAAAGGTAAAAAGGAAAGGGTAGAGTTGGGCGGCTAACATTCCCTAAGAAGTTTAGGGGAGCTTGGCTGGAAGGGCGAGAAGGCGGTTCAGCCATAACTCTAATGATTCTTACAGTCCCCAACCTGCTCTATGCCTCCACGACCACAGTACAGCTCCTCACGCATACTCTTTGGATCTCTTCTCCCAGCCTCAAGATTCTCTTGGAGATGCTACAGAAGGTAGAGGGGCTGCCAGGCACCCCAGCAAGAGAAGTATAGGGTGGAGAACATTGTATAGGAAGGGGCAATAATTACACAGAAAGATCCCCTTGGTGACTGGAGGGACTTGAGGGGTCCAGTCCTCCAGCCCCCAAAAGCCTCTCGACATCCCCATCAGCCCATACTAGAAGAGCAAGAGAGTAGGGAAGTAAGCCTCCAGGGAGACCCTGTCCCCAGAACTACAATTCAACAATTCCATCCGCCTTACTTACCCCAAGGAAGCCCCCAAGTGAGAAGGAATAAAGCCATTAACCCCCAAAATAAAGCCTTTGGGGCAAACAGGGAGAGGAGAGAGAGTTAGGGAATCCTGTGAAGCACCACACCCACTGTGACCTGCCCATGCTAATCTCAGAAGCTAAACAGGGTGGGGCCTGGGTAGCCCTTGAATGGGAAGATTGGGGAAATTCTCTCAAAGGAGACAAGAAAGGTAGCTCTTCCCAAGAGCCTGCCCCACCCCTGTAGCAGCAGCCTGAGAGTGGCCTTGGCCTCAAACCCTGGCGACAGACTCTCAGGAGCAGGAGTTCTTGCTTCTAAGGCTGCTAACAGACCGCATACCCCAGCATGATCTCTGGCCCTCTGCCAGCTCCCTTTCTTGGTGCACGCTTTGTCTCACCTGCAGCTTCAAAGCTAAATACCAACCTCAAGCTCCTACCCACATTTGCTATGAACCAGTCAGAACTTTGAAGGAGGCAGGTCTGGAAGTTGCCTGGGTAACCTAAGAGAGGGGCATCCCTTGCAGGAAGACAGTTACCAGGGAGACCAGGACAGTGGGCTAGGACCCAAGTCAGGGTTGGCACATGCCAGGATAAGACAAGGATGGGTGAGTGGGCTGGTTGTTTGATTGATTGGTTGTTTGATTGTTTGGTTGGTTGTTTGGATGACTGGGTGGTTGTTTGATTGTTTGGTTGGATGGTTGTTTGTTTGTCTGACTGTTTAATTGTTTGTTTGGATGTTTGTTTGTTTGTTTGGTTGGTTGGTTAGTTGTTTAATTGTTTGTTTGGATGTTTGGTTGGTTGATTGTTTGGATGATTGTTTGGTTGGTTATTTGGTTGGATGGATGGATGGATGGATGGATGGATGGATGGGTGGATGGATGGGTGGGTGGATGGATGGGTGGGTGGATGGATGGGTGGGTGGATGGATGGATGGGTGGGTGGATGGGTGGGTGGGTGGATGGATGGATGGGTGGATGAATGGATGGATGGGTGGGTGGGTGGATGGATGGATGGATGGATGGGTGGATGGAATGATGGATGGGTGAGTGGGTGGATGGATGGATGGGTGA